TGATTTAACAGATGTGAACTCTTTGTTGCCTTTATCACAAAGTAAAGCCGAGAATTTAAAAAAGATTTGATGAATGTTGTAAATAACACAACACAATAGCAAAAGGATCCAACTGTTAATGTGGCACAACTTCAAAGGTCAAACTGTAAATTAACTGGTACTGGACTAAGCCACCACGTTAAACGCAATTCATAAATTCACCATAAATTCCACCAATAACCTGCACAGGTTGCTTCACTCTTCTCTGTCAGATCTAATTATTGTTTCAGTCTGCCGAGGCAGAGCTCTTAGTGCACTGTGGACATGCTTTATGCTGTAAGGCCTCATTAATAAAAGCTTTAAAAGAACTAAATAAAGATCAAAGAAATACAAAACTATCGCAGTGCATTCAGCTGAAGTTGGGAAAACTCACATAGCAAACCAGGGTATCATTCATAGACAGCTGTGATGGGTATTGTGGCAGCACATCGCAGATGACCCCCATGTAAGGGAAGCACTGAATTGACATTTGGCTGTACGTGTGGGAGGAGATGGGAGCACATGTGACAGTTTGGGGGCAGCCTTGGGGAGGAGCTATGCTGGGTGGGGGAGCAGTGGCATGATGACTATAAAGGGAGTGCTAGCATGAAAGTGCCATGTGAAGGAGCTGAAACCAGGAAATCAAGTGAGAGAGAAAGGGATCTCAAACCTATTCTGATCTCTTTATGAATGGTGGCGTCCTGCTTTTGTCGATGCTTGGGTAATAATGCTGTTGCGTAGTGAGCTGAGCTGAACACAAGAAGGGAGGGAGAAAAGAGGAGTTGAGCAACTGCATATGGGGAATTTTAGCTTATCGTTGCTGGTTCAAAAGTCAAGGGTGAGTCCACTGTGCTGTGGCTCAAAGTTTAACAGCAATCATTAACAGCTGCACAGCACCTAATGCGAGAGGGACTGTGTGACCCTCTGCAACACATGTTAGCACATTAGTATGTGCCGAACACACAACTGGTCCCACACCTCCCCGTCCTCCTAACACTTTCCACTTCTGGGGATATTTCTTCTTAGCATAATGGCAGCTGCACGTGCAAACACGCAGGGATGAATAGTTATTACACACTTTGGGGATGCATGCACAGAGGGTGTCTTAGTAGTGCCTGCAGAGTGTATGCGACAAAATTGAGGGCATGCAGATGTGCACATGGAGCCTCGTGTTTACCACATTATGACAACAATGCAATCACATGGACCCAGGCAGACCTTTGGATACATGCAACACACATGTAACTTGGCAACACTTATAATTGATTTTAATAGCTAAAGGATTTGGGGTTGATCAGCTTTTACACATCTCGCTGGGGAATGCCTCAGCTGGAAAATTTTGCTGTAGCTACGTCACAACCACAAACCCCTCCATAACCTACAGCATAATCTGAAGCGTACCTGCCCAGAAATGTCACTATAGGTTGGATTGGCCCATTATTGTGATTGGCCTGTTCAGCACAATTGATTCATCGTGTGCATTTTCGACTCGTCTTTTGCTGCAGTTGAGGAATTTTTCAGTGAGAAAATGACAATCATCCTCTCACTATAAGGAATAATAATCATAACACATCATAACATATGGACTCACAAATGTCAGCAAAGGAAAGAGGATCACCAAAACTATTGGAATGGACATGAGGGAAATACACAAAGACCAATATTTTTGCCCATGATGCACAAAAAAAAGAAAAAGAAAAACAACAAGCACGGGGACTCTGGAGGGAATAAAGTCCACAACCACACTTTAAACACATAATGAAATAACACAAGCATAAATGCGAGCAACAACATTAGCCACTTACATGGTTTACGTTGTAGGTTTGACAAAGACCCCCGCAGCAGTCTAACGCAGGTCTTACAGTAAGCTCCAATCAAAACTCCTCACACATGCAGAGAGAAGCACAGAAACTACCGCCGGCAGAAATAACAGACCCAGTAAAATTTTACACTGCACTAAAATGAAACAAGGGCATATAAACTATTTAAACAAATTGTTAAATGTTCAGTTTTACATATTTTTAAAATATTTATGCATTTTTTATTGTTTTTGTCCTGTGGCTTTGAGGGCCTAAGGGGAAAAAAAGGAGGTGCAATTACGGTGGGTACATGTAATATTGTTGTGATATCCAAGGTTCATGAGACTTTAAAGTTCTTGTTGCAATTTACTTTCTTGCCTGGGCTGCGAGGGTATTCTTTAACGTCTCTTTTCTCAGGCAACCATCAGCTCTCATGTTTGCAGCACAATAAGTTCTGAAGCTGCTCAGCAGACTAAACTTCAACTTCACTTGTTCCACGAGAACTAATGATTCTCAGTGCTATGGATGCTGCTTGTGGTGAACACTATGAATTTTAAAAAAAACGTGCGCTATCGGTGATAATCTTTTTCAGTGATCTGTTCATACATACCGCCCACACCCCCACCCCAACTCCACCCTGGCCCCATTAAAGCGTTCGCTCTGGTTAATGCCCTCTCCTAAATGAGCTTTGATCTCGTTAGCGCGACACAAAGCCTCTTTACTGCCAACGATAGGACAAATCGGCTCTCCGAGAAACGCGGAAAGAGGGAGAGTTGGATACTGTACTCCCACTACCTCAGCGCAGACAACAGTGCTGCCTCAAGGGGAAGCATCAATAAGACCAACAGAGCGTACCAAACATACAAAGAAAGAGCGCATAGGGGGAGATGAAACGAAGGGGAAAGGGGGGAAAAGCAGAGAGGAAAATAAGAAAACACAGCTGGGAAAAAGAAATGGATATTCCACCGATTTGAGTGATGGGAGACGGGCTGAGAAATGAAGACATTATCAAAGATGGCAGTGGGGGAGATAGATGGGGCGGCACAGAGGAAAGAGTGAATCCGGGGGGGGCTTGCCTCAGTGGCACGCTGAAAGCCTGTGAACCAGGAGTCAATTAGCAATCTGGAAATATGCCTGGAGGGAGGCAGGAGGGGGACAAATCAGAGGACAGATAAGGGTGGGGGTGGGAAGGGGTGCAGTTTGTATGAGGTGGAGCGGGGGAGGAGAGCAGCAACAACAAAAGAGGGGAGGCTGCACTCTCGTTTATTATTACAGTCCTGATTTGCAGTCAGCCTGGAAGGTCAGAAGTATACCAGCTCGAGCTCACTGCGGGAGCCCTACAGTAATTGCTGGGTGCATTTAGTTCAAGGAACATCCACTGGAGTCATCATCTCCATCGCGAGCAGCCATGCAGCGCCCGAGAGCTACTCGATACATCCCCTCAATGTCATTTTCCGATTTATTTATCCTTTGCATAAAGTGTCACTGAGCTGATTATCGTCATTCAGGCCCTGTCCTCATGCTTATCTCTCCCACAACTGATGGTGTCATGCCTGCCATCCATCACTTCCCTCGCATACTTTATCATGCCGCCTGATGGATGCAAACTAACCGCTCAGATTTTCACTCTGCCATCAGTCTCCTTTATCCCACCTCCCCACCCCCACCCCAAAATCCCCACATCTATCCATCCATCAGTCCCACCTCTCTCTCTCTCCTCTAATCCACTCGCACATTGTGCCCAATTAAACCACGATCCTCGCTTTCCCCTCTTTATCCTCCACGTGCAACCTTCGGCGCACTCTCTTTCTCTTGCTGTAGCCTCATCCTCCCTTTTATTCCATTTACACGACCCCACCCCGACCCCAACAATCAATACAACCGATGGGCAGCGAGAATCCACCACATGCCGCCCTGCTCATTGTCACATCATCTTTGCCAGCGGGCTATAACCTTTTCCCATCATCAACATCCATCCTCTGTGAGGCTCACTGAGCATCACAGCATCACACTTGGACCTTTCTGCCTTTGCAGCGGGTCAGCTGCACAGCCCATTGAAGCATTTTACCAGTTTCCCCAGGATTCAATTACCTGCAGACGACCTCAAGTCGTGTCCGCCTGCCCTTCGACTACCGTTAGAGCAGTTTCCCTGGTCTTTGAAAAAGAAAAAGAAAAAAAAAAAACCACCAGACGTCAGCTGAAAATTTTCTCTTGTACTATTGCATTACAGGGGCACTTCAAAGCATGTGTGTGTAGGTGTAGGAATGATGCGTGCTGTGTGTTTGCAAGAGAGAAATAAATAGCAAGAGATCCAGGCAGAACAAGTGAGAGGTGCACCCTGCGCCTCGGCAGTTCTCTAGTTTACTGTAACGTACACAGGTTGGAGGAAGGAACGGACGCTGATGCTTTGCTGTCTCAGCAGTCGAGTCATAAAAGCAAGGGAAGACCCGTGTTAAGGAGGGGCCCCCAGAGACCCTTCGCTCCTTCAAGCTCAAAAAAAAAAAGGCTCTGTTCTTTGTCTTTCTCTGTGGTGACCCCTCCCCCAATCCTTGTCTGCCTCTCTCTTTTAACACCTAGCGACAATCATGGGGGGGCACGGAGCCATTAAATGCCCTGCATGTGTGTGTCAGGATTTCTGAAGACTCACTGACAAATTATCCGCACAGTTCAAAGTAATTTCATCCACATAAGTATAAAAATACAAAATCCCTCGCAACATGTGACAAAGCACTGGTTTACCTTCTGTGAGGCAGGCATGATGAATGGCTCTGATCTTTGCCGTGGTGTCTGGGACTGTCATAGCAATGGAGCCTGGATCATATTACCTTTGTCTGGTTTGGTAAGAGCAGCACCAAGAGGAACAAACAGCAAGCCTCGATAATCACAGCAAGCAACGCGTTTACTACTGAGACACTTTTCCTGCGTTTCGCTTGTTATAATTAAAGGATTTGCTGTTGCAACGATGCATGATTATCAAGAGGGGAAAATGCGCGCGTGGAGGGGGGGCTGTCAAAAACATCATCATCCTTCCTAGCTGATGCTTAGAAGCAAACAGAAAAAACAGCGAAGAAGGAAAAGGAGGGCGGATGATACTGAGTTCAGTGAGCAGCATTTGTAACAGATGGAAACAAAAAAGACACAGATGTGAGAAACATATCTTTTGTGTTTACACTGCATTCATACCTGGCCAATGTCACCGACAACACTCCCGGTCCCGTCTATCCTTGGTCTTTTGCACTCCGCTCCGGACAAGTCAGTGAGGGCAGCGGCAGTCTGAGCGTCGGGCTCCGGATCTCCTCTCTTCATCCCTCGGACCACGGCTGGACCCCCGGCCGCGTTTGCATGGGGTCCGGCTGCTGTATCAATGTCCCTTTCCCGGTCCATTATTCCCCGACTAACGGGTAGCATAATAGATGCAACGTCGGTCGACATTAACATTGGACGGGAGACAGTCACCAGTCAAAAGTCTCTTTGGCTTTTTCTTTTCTTTTGTTACCTTTGCCTTCTCCTTTTGGTTTGTCCACGGCTCGATATTCACAATGGATTTGGCTTTTCCCAGACAGATAATATTGAACGGATTTTCATCAATATACACAAGCTTGCACTGTTTATTGTCTAACTTAGCCTTAGCTATGCGAGACACCCCTTTAAAACCATGGCAGAATCCAACACAAAGCACATTAAGTACAGTTGTCCCTCTCTGTCTTTTTTCCCCCTGAAAAAAGAAAAACGACGACAGTGTCCTATTTTAATAAAGATCACACGTCCGACTCTCGGATGCCTGACAAGCTAATTAGCTAGCTAACATCGGCTAGCCTGCTAGCATTACATTCCGCTAGCTCTCTTTATAAATGTGGCTCGGAGAGCACTCTCGCTGCCAAGAATAGAAAATGTTGGAAATTAGCTTCGCGTAATACTACTCCTTCTGCGGGGCCAGCCAGTCACCCTCTCCTCTCGCCCCTAAACGCGTGGGGATTTTTTTCTTTTGCAGTGAACTCCTCTGTGGTTCCTACCAGCTTTCCCCTTGAATTCTCTCCCTTCTTGTCCGTTCCCTCGCCTCGGTCTGCTGTGGATGAGTCTTGGCGTGCGTACCTTGGCTACCGACGAACACGATTTCCTCTGGTCTCAGTCCCAGTTGGTGTAACTCGTAGTGTGTAGGGAGCCCGAGTGCGCTGATCTGCGGTCAGATTTGCCCGTAAACACCGGGCTCGCGGACAGGGGGAGTGAGGTAAGGCGGGCTGGTCTGAGGTCTGCCTTTCCTCCGTCTCCTTCTCCTCCTTTTTTCCCTCCTGATCCCACCACCTCAGAGCTCCCTCCTCCTCAACCCTCAGTTATTTATTTATTTTTTCCCAGTTAATATAAAAATTGCACTATTTTGCAGGTCGTGACGATGCCCAAAAATTATTATTTTTTGCGCCTAAAATTACCTAAAATGTTAAGCAGAAAATAAATAATAATAATAATGAATAATAGTAAAATATATAAATATTAATGAAATATCTCAAAAACACAAAAGCCACATTTTGCTTTTGAACAACATATGATTATTATTATTTTTATTTATTTAGTTAGTTAGTTATTTTTATTGGGAATCAGCTAATCACATTGTAACAGTTTTGTAGCAAAATACGCCTCCAATATTTACAAAAAGGAAAATTACATAACCACATAAATGAAAACACGCAGCTAATAGCCAAAGGCCTAAAGTACTTAAATAAAATGGGAGGGGGGGGGATTAAACAAATCAATCAATCAAAGGAGCCCAAAACCGGCCTTTCCACTTTCGGTTTTTAAGCAACGCTTCACAGCACAGTCGTGTTTCTTAATGTTGTTGCGCCCCCTTGTGGGTCTTCAGTCACAAAGCGTCTGATAGGAAACCGCTTTCATCCTGACTACCGGGCTTTGATGTTATATAATTCATACAAAAAGTAACACTTATCAAATACAGTTGCTGATGTGAGGAAATGTTTACAGTGACCAACCAACAGAAAAAATAAATAAAAATACTTGAGCCGTAAATCCTGCACCTCACCTGACTGCCTTAAAACAGATGATCGCAGTCACTTTCTGCTCAGCTGTCTGTGTCTAAATGTGTGTCATGATGGAGGTATTGTATGTTTATGTGTGTGTGTTTCCCTTCATCTCTGTGACTCACTCTAACGACACCCTTGTCTCTACCTGTCTCCCTGCCACCCACTGAACCTGCAGTGATTGACGGCAGTGAGGTCACATCACTCCTCCCGTCTGCCTGTTTCCTATCAGAGGCAGAGGGAGCCATTACTCAGCTATTACTACCAACACGGACTTCATGGGTTGTGGAAAAATAGAGCAAAATATCTGTTACGGGAAATGACACTTTACTGAGATCATTCTTCTTGATCTTTTGACGTCCTCTGACCTGTGTTTAATCCAGCTGGTTAAGAGGTCACAGGGCATTTCAGGAGGAGGATTCGTTACTCATTTAACAGAGTTTTTTATTTGACTTTGTCTGATTCCTGCCTACTGCTATTTATTCTATATTGATGTCACTTGCTGAGGGTAGTAGTAGGCATAGTTTATTTGCAGATCTCCAGCTACACTCACTGGCCACTTTATTGGGTACATCTGTTCAACTCTTTGTTAACACGAGTACCTGCGTAGCCAGTCACATGGAAGCATTTCAATGCATTTAAACATTTAAACAGGTGGGTACATTATGTCACTCAAGAATCTGAGTGTGATTGATGGTGACCCTTGATCTCAGGACTTTCCCTTTGACCTTTTGACCTTTCTGGAAGCTTGTCAGGTGTGAGAAGCGTGACCAGTTGCCTATTTCCTACCACACAGAAAGGAGCACAGTTCATGATTGAAACGCAAACATACAAGCAAGGAATTACTTTCATCTTTTCTACTTTTACTTTTATCCACACTTTGGAGAATTAAGCCTTATAGAAAGACCTACTTGTTAAAGCAAATTTAGAGTTACAACTGTTGTTCACTACAGGGAATAGAAGCATATTCTTTGTTAACATGTATCGCTGTCAGGGTGTGGGTTCAGGAAGCAGACCCCAACGCAAGACTCTTCCGAGACAAAGCAGTGAATTTATTAACAGTGATGACAACAAATATATCCAAATCTTCAGCATTGTGGCTTTCCAAGGTGATCTTCTCGATTCTCCCCACACAGTGCGAGTGTTTGTGACAGTGAATAAACAGTTTCCATATCTGTGCTCTAATCTGTGTCTCTAATAAACAATCAGCTGCAGCTGGTGACGGCTTATGAGCGGCAGTTGAGGCTGTCTCCAGCGTGGGAACACTTCCAGCTCGAATGATCACCCGGCGTCCAAAACTTCTGGGAGTGCTCGCCAGAATTTCAAGTATTTCAGCTGCCAATTTTTACACTCGTGAGTCTAGTATATTTTTCTCTCTGTCTCTCTCTCTCAGACACAGACACACTCAGACACCACCGTTGTCATTATATAGCTTGCTGTTCAAACTGACGCTCATATTTCCAAGCACCTCCTGAACACCTCATCCTTTTTTTAACCCATGGCAGCTGTACTTTATTACCTTTACACATATGACTGGAGCAGAATTTTGAGCAAGCAATAAAAACCTAAGATTTTAAGAATTATTCAGTCAGTATAGTATTTTGTTAAACTTTATGGCATCATTGTGATATCCAAGTAACCTCTGAAAAAATAAGTAACTGAAAACTTTTTCAGTTACTTATTTTTTCCACTGCTTCCTACTTGGTCCACATGATGGATGACTCTTTGATGTCCTCAGACCAATGCGAGCAGTCCTGTCCTGTGTGGAGCTTCACTACATTGAAGCTCCACACAGTGTCATGTAGGATACGAAAGCTGTGGTTTGTCCAGCAGAATGATGCTGCTGAACCCAAACTGTTTCTAATGCTTGTTCTTCCATACTCTGGGATTTTGTCCAGAATAAGTGAAAGTGACTATACAAAACATTTTCTAAAATCAGTCATCAGACCTTTTACTTTGTTTAAATAGTAATAGGATTCCTCACATCATTTTCAATGTCTTCATGGTGCAGGAAGTGGAGTGATCCAGACTGGATGTGCCCAGGATGACCCTACATACAGCTCCAGCACAAAAACCAAACTCCCAGAATGAAAGGCAGCAGGCAGCAGTGGGGATACTCATAAGTCTACTGTTGGAGCTTACCAAACTGAATCAAACACGTTCGGTAATAATGATGTAGTTGAAGCCACATAACAGAGAACTGTTTTCTAAATCCTAAAAACGGAAATACCTCTCACCACGGTGGCCTCAAACTCAAACTCCAGACAGGCAACTCCTGTTCGGATTCCCTGTAACACAAAACATTCTGCAGTGAACATACTGACCCTGATGTGGTGTTAAGTCAGCCTGTGGACAGGTTGGGACAGTACGTTTGACCTCATTAGGATCTCTGAGGACGTAAGAAGTACAGCAATTACCAGTCAGGATGCTGATTAGCTAGAGATCGGACCAGGCTTGAGAATTAGAGGAGTATACTGACCGTCGCTGACGGGTCAATTCCATAACCAGTAGTTTTTAGACCCATTGGTCATTTTGTGTGTGGCGTACAGGCCTAGCATGAAACACTGTGATTTTGCTCCAGTTTTTTTGCTCCCTCTCCTGCTGTTGTGTGCAGCTGTTTGTCCTATGCAGTTAGGAAGAGACAGCAGAACTCCAGTGTTAGCCTGCCTTTGCTGTGTGGTGGCTGTATATGTTTTGATGATTTACTCCTGCTCCATGGAAAGGAGTGTATCTGCTTTCATCTGATCTTCTTGACATTTGTTTAGCTTCTAAGTTTTGCCTTTTTCTCTTGATGATGAAAGGGGCTCGTGTGTCTCTTTTAGTTAAGATTCACTTTGTTTTCAGCTACTTCCCCAGATAACCTTGGACACCATGAGTTAGCACATCTGGAGAGATATTATGTACCTTATGTCAAACCAGTGATTTATAACCCTGGTTTATAACTGAGGAAATAATAAAGGAAGTAGTAAGAGTTAATAACAGTTATAACGTTTTATGAAAATCATCACATTATGATATTTCTGAACTTGGTACTAATCAATAATCATATGTCCAAAAATAATAAATAAAATAATAAATTAAGACAACTGCTTTTGGGGGGCTGTGTGTATGTGTGAAAATGTGTTGAACGACAATAAAAAGGTTTTTCTTAATTAAATCGGTGCTTTTGTAACAACAGAGGCCTGTGAGGATGGAGGGAGCTGGAGGCTGCATGCCGCACTGGCATTGGAAGGCTTTAATTCATTTTACTTGTGTTTTTTTGATTCAAAAAAGGAAAATCTGTCACTGCCGAGCGGCCAAAAACAGGTAAATGGACTCAGGTTCATACAAAACTTCTTGAACAGTATCAAACACTCGGTCAATGAAACAAGCTAAAGTTTCTGTGTTAAGTTATGAGCTTATATATATACACTATGGCACAGCTAGACATCACTAAAAGAATCACACAACAAAAGCATGACCACGAACTAGACGTACGCTTTATGTGCCGTGAAAAAGGTCCTGGGAATTAGTCTCATGCTGTAAGGGGAGCAGCTAAGAAACCAGACACTGGGTAAAATCCCGAGCGTGAACCCTATGCTGCAGGGGAAGGGAGGAATGCAAGTGGGGTCAGGTATTAAAATGTGATGGGCAGTGATTAGTAACAGTCTTAGTTGTGCAGGCGGAGGCGAGACGTAGATGGGAAAGGAGAGGGGTCCGGGTGAGGCGTGAACGGAGTCCGAAAACACAAAAACTGTTGCAAGCTGGGCAGAGAGGCAGGCGCGTGGAACAAAGAAGCTGCGAGCAGACCGGCGTCGGACTGAGGTCAGGAATATGGAGGTGAAGAGCTGGCATCCAGCAGGCTGCTGAGAGCAGAGGGATAAACAGAATTAAAACAGAGTTTAATTATGACAAGGTTCTACGACTGTGAAGCCTTCACTAACGAGGGTTAGTCGACATCCTGGCACTGAATGTTTGAGACCACCAGCACGCTGGAAAAATCCAGAACTCACCCGGACCATGACAAAATGTGAATTAGTCAGTCTACACATGCTCCAACACATTGTGAGGTGATTGTATTGGAGCGAGAATCCCCAAGAGAGTCAGGCGCGTCTTCACACTTCGGCCAGTGTAGGTAAAAATGACAATCTCGTTGACTCACGAAGCAAACCCTGAGCTGTGGCTCCTCCTCCCGATCCAGCGATAAAGCAATTTAAACTAGAGGTGGCCCTACCCTTTACCATTGAAAAAAAAACAACAGTGATCAATAGAGCAATTTCAGATAGGCAGACTCTTGCTTTGACCAATCAGAGAGATTGGGTCTAACCTGAACTGGAAGTTATCGCCTGTCAGAGTTTGAGGTAATGTCAGATCAGTAGAAAAAAGTTACGTTTTTACTGTAACACCACAAACATTTTTAACAAAATATCTTCATAACTTGAAATGCAAATAGAAATGTTTAATTTAAAAATGTATCCACAAGTTTTGCAAACAACAAAGTTACATGCAATCTTTTACCTAAAAATGCAGCAAAGGCTTTTTATATAAGCATTGAAAACTATTTACAGAACAATCAGCTGTTCTGCATCAAATAAGAAGGTACACACATTATTTGTGCCACTCCAAAAAACTGTTTCTGTCCACTATAAGACAGAGGAGAACACCACAGGCCTAAACACTGCACACCTGACAACAGGAGGTGTATCACTCCTCCTGTTTTTCACCTGGAGACAGCGTTTACACTGCAATCCTCCGTTGGTGGCTCTTTTGCGACAACTGTGACATTCACTAGTATAACTGACACACAAAACAACAGCTACACTACACACTAACTACACAAGACATCAAACTACCTATAGACTCCAAACACGCTAAACGTCGGTTGATCTGATATCCTCGTGTTGGTGTTGTTCCCAGATCATCATACTAAATGTTGTTCCAGGATCAACATTGCAAGTGACCAATCAGGATGTTGTGACGTCATACTTTTGCGACTTCGGGAAAAACCGGCGTAAAACAAAAAACTGTACTTAAGCTGCGTGAAACCGCCTCAGTCCGCCGATCAACTGACCCTAACCCTAACCGTAACCCTTTAATAAACAGTAAGCAGAATTGATATTGTCCTTGCAACATTGGAATTTCATAAATGCACGAATTGGCTTGGCGCGCAAAAGAATAACGTCACAACAATGTGATTGGTCACTTGCAATGTTGAACCTGGAACAACATTTTCATGATGGTCTGGGAACAACACCAACACGAGGATATCAGATCATCCCTAAAGGTCACACACCTCTCACATCTCAAAACTTGCTCTCTCCTTCTTTCACTTACTCGCTCTCTCACTCATAAAACTTCCCCCTCTTCCTAAACAACCAAATGCCATGTTTCCATATAATTGTTTGATTGGTTGACATGGTTCAGTGATGCTTATTAACTCAATATGTACATGATTTTCTGGGCAAAAAACAAGAAGCTTCAGGTTATCCATCATCCGCATGTCATAAATGAGGAGGACAGAATGCTTTACATTAATGACTATGATGCTAAACGCCCCTCATGTCAGCCATACCTGAAGACATTGATGGTGGCTGACGCTATATTCTGATGGTGACTCCTGAATTTCCTTCACTTCCTCCTCATCCTTGAAATACTCCTGATGGATGTCCACAGCATTGTTCAGTCTGATGGCATCCTCCATGACCAAATAGTGCCATTCAACCTTCAGCATCAGCAAGGGGCTGTTTTTACAATGTCTGCCAGGTAATTCTACACCGACTGGGTAGAGGGCATCAGAGGACCACTACCGCCGTTTCTATGAAGGACGGATGGAGCCGGGGGACAGGCCCTTTGCATATGCTAATGCACAATGCAGTAGCCAGAGATGCAGCCTGGGCCAACAAGGAAGAAGCTCCACTGCTAAACCTCCTCGTACTGCAGCAATTTGTAGAGGCGCTCCCAGCAGGAACAGCGGAGTGGGTCCACTACCATCAGCAAGCGAGCCTCAAACTTGCTATAACACTGGCCAAAGACCACTGGAAATTATGGCAAAATATACAGCCTAAGGCTGCGGTTAGCTCCTGCGTGACACACACCTTGACTTTGGGAACAGATTGCTGTGATTGATGCAATATTTGGCCACATTGCTATAACGACACCACTTGATTACTTCACACACATGCTATCAATTATCCATAAATTGCTGCTTAAGGAACTAAGGACTAACAGAAAATTTTAAATGCAAGTTCTTTTTTCTAATGTGTTGTACAACTATCAAATTCATTTTTTTATGTTACATAGTAATATGGTCCTTACCAAATGTGAAACTAAATTAATTAGTTTCATAGATCTAATCCATACTGCTCCTTTAAGGCAGCAAACTCGCTATATTCTATTCATTATACCAATTAATAACACCAGTGGTAAACAAAAACACTACTTTAAAACAACTCAGTGCAAATAGGCATGCATGTTCATTTTCTTTCAACTCACAACAACAACTCAACTTCCAAACCAAAACACCAACACAAAGGAGTGTGAGTTTAGACAGCACCAGTTAGCTAATCACATAGAACTGTAATCTTTGACATTTGTTTACCAAGTGAACAGCTTTAACATTTAAGCAGCTGTAACTGTTAGTGCAAACACTGTGTATTATTAAGGAAAGAGCTTCAGGTCTCCAGATCTACTAGCTAACAAAAGACACGTTACGCTTTCACCTGCTTCTCTGCTTCAACAGCAACAATGTTCCTCTTACGTCAGAGGCACAGCTACAGCAAGTGTAGAGCCAAGCAGCCTCACCAGCGTAACCAGTGTTGCTCTTTTAGCTTTGAATGTTTTAACTTAAATGCATTAACAACTTGTGTAATAATTTTAACAAAAGGTTTCTACTTTTATCTGTTTGTAACCCTGGGCTACACAACATCCATAAACAACATGTATCCATTCAATATCAATCCAACCAACAAACCTGCATTAACCCAACCATCCATAAAGCCAGCAACCATCCCGCCAACATGCATCAACCCAAAACTCCAACCAGACAGCATGCATCATAGTAAGACTAGGTGGACTGCTGTGGATTCATTT